ACAGCATCATGGAAGCCAGGGCTCAGTCGGCTCCCCTCCACCTCGCCACATCCAACCCCACTGCACAAGAGCTGGGGAACGCGACTCAGCAGAAGCTGCGCGTGTGTGACATCTGCGGCGCGCTGCTGTCCATCTTCGACTCCAACGACCGTTTGGCGGAGCAGTGAGTCATGTGCACGTAGAGGTTGAGAGCAGCCGTTGCACAAGGGTCGTGTTTGTTGGCGGGGATGTGTGATGTGTGGAAGAAATGAGCAGGGAATCTCTTTATGTCACGTGCACGTGCACGTATAAGTTGAGGGCAGCCTTTACGCAAGAGGCGTGTTTGTTAGTGGGGGTTTGTGGAAGGCGATAACCAGTGAGTCTCTTTGAGTCATCGCACGTACAGTACGGGTTGAGAGCAGCCTTTGCACACTTGAAGAGTGTTGGTTGGTGGGAATATGAACATGATGCCAACCTGAGAGACGTCTGTCTGTTTTGTTACGGCCCCGACAAGGTCTCGTTTGGCGAGCAATGCGCCTCTGGTGGTGGTGGTGGTGGTGGTGGCCGTGGCTGTTGTCAGCTTTGTGTCTCTTTTTTTTTATGTCTTGGGTGTGTCCTTGCTGTGTGCCGTTGTTTTGCCCTGCAACAGCAGTCACTTTCGCGTGTTGTTTCTTGTTGCTGTTGTTGAATTTTGTGTTTGTCGTTGTCGTTGTAGCGCTGCTGTTGTTGTTGTTGTCATCGGGTGCACAAGGTCCGCCGGTGGGCAGTTTAATGGTGTGGTGACAACCTCTCTTTATTGGTGTGGTGACAACCTCTCTTGCGGGAAGGTGCATGAAAAAACGAATGCTCATGGTGTGAGGGTCAGGCCACGCCTACGTTTTTACCTCGGGTGTGCGGAAGAGATACTTCGACAGGTGACGGCTTCGCGACGTTGTACCTAGATTTTCCCACTGCTGTGAAAAGCGTTAATTGGGGGTTTGGGTAGGGAAGGGGCCCCCCCCCTTTTTTTTTATGCCCCTCCCCCCGTCCTTTTTGGGGGGCCCCCCCCCCCCCCCCTCCTTTTTTTGTTTCAGCTTCGGCGGCAAGCTGCACATCGGGTTCGTTGACATCCGCACGAAGCTGGAAAGCATCCACAAGGAGAGGGTGGAACGTCTCACCAAGCGTCAGGAGGAGGACGAGAAGGTATAGGGTAGGGCAGGGCAGCTGTAGGGTGCAGCGGGCGGACCGCGCGCAGCAGAAGTACCACGACACCGGCTACTTGTCTGTTTTGCATAGAGCGATGTTGTGGCAGTGAGAGTGTATGGCATGCAAAAGCAAGTAGCTTGGCGACAGAGGAAAGTACGAGTGTTGCGTGCGAAGACAACCATTCGCAAGCCTCAACCTCCCATTTCCTCGTTCGTCGTTGTTGTAATTGTTGCTGCTGTTTTTTTTTTCTTTTTTGTTAGAATCGTCGAGGAGGCAAGGACAGGGATGCCGACAGCCGCAGCAGCAGCAGGAGAGACGGGGACCGCAGGGATAGGGATGACAAAGACAGGGACAGAGACAGGAGGAGGGACAGGTGGGTCGGATCGAGATCTTCCGTGTGGTGTCAGGCGGAACAGACAACCGTAGCTTACGTACGGTAGTGTCTTCAGAATGCGTCGCTGCTGGTGTGCTGGTCATTGCTTGTTTTGCTTGCTGTCGTCCCGTGTTACTTGTGCATGACGTAACATGGCATGAGGTAGTTTTTTGTCGACAGAAGAAAGAGCCCCTAGACAGGATCACAGAGACACAAATCCTCGCTGTGTGCATCGTTCCTTTTTTTCACGCGAGAAGGCCGTACAGAAGTTGTACTATAACCGCCTCGTTTTTTTTTCCTTGCGTTTTTTTATCGTGTCATGTTGACCCCCTCCCACGACCCCCCTCTCTCGCTCTTCTTCTCTCTCTCCATCCCCCTCTCCCTCGCTTTTTATCTCAGGTCGAGGGATCGATCCAGGGACCGGGGCAGAGACCGCTCCAAGGGTCGTTCTCGAGACCGCTCCAAGGGCCGCTCTCGAGACCGCTCCAGGGAACGGTCCAGGGACCGCCGGCACCGTGAAGATAGCCGCGAGCGGCGCAGGTGAGTTTTTTCATCCCTGTAAAAGTCATTTGTTCCCCTCGCCGTGCCTGGCCAATTCGTTTGGTGGATATGCTGTATGCCGTTGTAGTTGGTGGTGGTGGTGGTGTTGGTTGGTGTGCAGTCGGCGGTGGTTTTGCTCTTTTCCCTGCGGGGATGCATCAGAAACGAGTACGCTCGATGCCGTGCGATGCGGTGGATACGATGCGATCGATGTACAGTAAGAACTTCAGCGAGGGAGGGGGAGGAGTCTGGTTGGTGGGCCACAGAGGCGTTAAGCGTGTGTGTTGAGTTGTCCCCTTCCTTTACTCATCAGCAACGGGGACGGCTGCCGTTTCCATTTCCGCCGTGAGGGCCCCCGAGCGGTTTGGGGGGGGGGGGGACCAGGGTAGACGTCGCCCCCCGATGCTCTATTCATGTCCGTAGCACTTGCTATCCGGAGGAATATGCCGGGTCTTATCCTTCCGTGCACACGCCTACGTGAGTACGCCCGCCAATGGATGGAGATCTGGCCGAATCGGTCAGGACGTGCTGCTCGAAGTCAGAGCACGAATGGAAAGGAAAAGGAAAATGGAAGTCGATGGATAAGTTCCAGGTGTGATGGATCGGTGATCAGGGGCGGCGGGGGCGGGTAACGTAGAGCGGGCCCGTTCGTTTGATTGCGTCCCGTTGTTTGGACCATGGATCAACCCACAATCTTCCAGAAGCCCCCCCCCCCCCCGATTTCAAGCAATAGCCAAGGGCCATAGAAGCGCTCTCTCGGTTTGTCTTGGTTGACATTCTGGTGAGGTGTGCGTTGCCTGTTCGCGCGGTGTCTCCCCTCATGACAGCTCTGACGAACCTCCCGATACACACAGAGCAGCCCGGACGATGATGTGATCCCCTCCGACGTAGCCAGTAGATCACGGGGTGAATCGTTGTCCCCCCCACTCGGACGACAGCCTACGGCGCACCGTGCGGAGCACAGCTCGCCGCACTGCCTTGCGTATGTTGCTCTATTTTGTGAGGAGAGAGGAGTGCTCGCATGGCGCGTGGTGGGCTTGTCCAACTACAATAGC